ACCAGACGGAGGAGGACGGCGAGTCGCTGTGGCCGTCGTTGAAGGAGGGTGGCGTGATTTCTCGGACGGCGGCAAAGAGGGTTCCGCCGAAGTCGAACCAATTGAAGGCGATTTCCTCGTCGATCGTCTGGGAGCCATCGGAATTTGAAGCCTTCGAGAGCTTCTGCCAGAGAGATTTGAGGAATTGCGAGAGAACCCTAGAAATTTGGTGTTCTGTTCGTTCTGTGAAAAAAACTGAGAAAGATAAAGAAAACTAAAACACGCTAACAACTTTAGTTTTTTTTTTTATATATAATTAAAAACATAAAGCGCAAAGAAGAAAAAAAACGCTAAAGCAAAAAAACAAAAAAAAAACGCTAGCATAAAGAAAATGAACCAACGAGAATTACTTACACAGAACTGAAAGAAAAGAAGAGAAAAAAAAGCACACAGGAACAGAAACAAATATTTAGAAGACATGGGCAAGGCTTAAGAAAAAGCACACATAATCAACTAATAAGACTAACCGGACAGCAACATAATTTTCTAAGTCGTGGGCACGGCTTAACAAAGAGCTCCAAACACTAGAGACGACATGGCAACAAAAGAAAAAATGGACCAACGGGATTGACACGCACATAAACTCAATACGAACACACCAAAATCAATAAGAATTAAATCACCTCATGAAAATCAAAACCGTAAATACGACATTTACAATCCTTATGCGCGTCAACCTCATAATCACCCAATTTCAAACTCGCGAACTCACTCCACAGAGAGCACCAATTATCCAAGAATTAGAAAATAGTTCCATGATTCACACTTCGCACATGAAATCAAGATCATAGCTTTTACATTCAACAAGTATGCATGTCCTAATTATGCCTAAAAAAATGCCTAAAAAGATAAAAAGAAAGGTAAACGTGAACGGTATAATTAAAGTTAGCATAAAGAAATAATGACACACTTAACACCTTTACATAGACTGAAAAATCGTTTTTTTTTTTTTTTTTTGAAGGAATAATGATCATTGGGTAGCTTTCACACTAAACCAAAGGTAGCCTTCTTTCTACATGATCATACCTCTTTCAGCATATTTTTAATTATAGAAGAATTTGGTCACAAGGATTAGCTGCACACTCTGGAGTAGGTAGCTCTTTCCCTTCACAGTCTCCAACATGCGATTTTTTTTTTTTTTTTTTTAAATACGACCAACAATCCATTTATCAAGTGAAAAAATGCACCACTACAACTTCATGCCTCCAACAAATATACCGTTTATGCAATAAAAATACAATTATGAATGAAAAAGAAATAAAAAATGCATGTATGCAAAAATTCGTGTTACAACGATGATGCATCGTGGAAGTTGCAATACGATTTCTATTCTAATTTAAACAACACAAAAACCGAGAGATTTCCTTAAATTAGAAAACCTCTCATAATCTAATGCCTTGGTGAATATATCCGCTAACTGATTCTCAGTCTCTATGTACTCAATGCAAATTATGTTTTTCTCAACTAAATCCCGAATAAAGTGATGTCTTATATCTATGTGTTTTGTGCGAGAATGTTGAACCGGATTTTTTGAGATATCAATCGCACTCTTGTTATCACAATATACGGTTAGGATTTCACTGTGGAGACCATAATCCTCTATCATTTGATTCATCCATAAGAGTTGTGTACATGCACTACCCACTGCTACATACTCTGCTTCGGCTGTCGAAAGAGACACGCAATTTTGTTTCTTACTAAACCAAGAGACTAAGTTATTACCCAAAAAGAAACACCCACCCGTCGTACTTTTTCTATCATCAACATCACCGGCCCAATCAGAATCGCTAAAACCTACCAGATTAGTGTTTGTCTCTTTAGTGAACCATAATCCTAGCTCAGTTGTGCCTCCTACATATCGAATGATTCGTTTTAAGGCTTTTAAATGAGAGACCCTAGGATTGGCTTGATATCTAACACACAAACACACACTGTACATTATATCGGGTCGGCTAGCAGTCAAGTACAATAGGCTTCCTATCATGCTTCTAAACAAAGTCTCATTCACTTTCTCTCCAACATCATCTCTTCCCAATTTTTCATTTGAGCCCATAGGAGTCTTGATATGCTTAGCAGTTTCAAGTTCAAATCTTTTCACAAGGTTCTTAGCATATTTAGACTGAGACACAAATATACCTTCACGCAATTGCTTAATTTGCAAACCAAGGAAATAAGAAAGTTCTCCAACCATACTCATTTCAAATGTAGAAGTCATGCATTCAACAAATTCATGCAACATATAATCACACGAAGATCCAAACACAATGTCATCAACATAGATTTGAGCAACAAGTATTTTTTCTTTGCCACGTTTAACAAATAGCGTTCTATCTACTTCACCACGAACAAAACCATTATGCAAGAGGTGTTCTGTCAATCGCTCATAACAAGCACGGGGTGCTTGTTTGAGACCATAAAGAGCCTTTTTTAATTTTAAAACATGGTCAGGCTTGAAAGGATCTTCAAATCCCTTTGGTTGCTTGACATACACCTCTTCATTTAAAAAACCGTTCAAAAAGCACTTTTAACATCCATTTGGTGAAAAATAATGCCTAGGTAACATGCAACAGCAAGCAACAAACGAATGGACTCAATCCTAGCAACAGGAGCGAAGGTTTCGTCAAAGTCGATTCCCTCCTCCTGTGAATATCCTTGAGCTACAAGACGAGCTTTGTTACGCACAATATTTCCCAGTTCATCAGTTTTATTTTTGAAAATCCATTTTGTACCAATAACATTCCCAGAACTAGATGGAGGAACTAAAGACCATACATCATTTTTCACAAATTGGTCTAGTTCCTCTTGCATAGCATTAACCCAAAACTCATCTTGTAAAGCCTCTTGGACATTTTTCGGCTCAATTAAAGAGATGAAACAAGAATTCATTACCTCGGAGCAGCTGGAACTCATACAAGCTAATTTTACCATGTCGCGAAAATTTATTTGCTTCTTACGAGTTCGCATACCATCCGTTACCTCACCAAGAACTTGCGAAATGGGGTGAGTTTTTTGAACTCTGGTTGGAACATCTTGTCTCCTGTCAGAAACATCCTCAGATCGTATTGGGGTCTCTGGAGTGGTATTTTGTTCGTCGGAAACACGTGTCGCATCAGGTGCTGTGTCAGGTGTCATGACACCTGGGACGACATTTGGGACGACATCTGGAACAGCATCAGAGACAGCATTATCAGCAGCAGATTGCGGAAATTCCAACAGCATCTGAGCATCCTCCTCAATATTTTTACCTGCCAAATCAGAATGATCATCAAACACAACATTTACGGATTCAATAATAGTCTTTGTTCTAAGATTATACAATCTATATGCTTGACTATTAGGAGAATATCCAACAAAGATGCACTTATCGCTTTTAGAATCAAATTTTGATCTAGCTTCACGGTCATTTAACACAAAAGCAACACAACCAAAAATATGGAAGTATTTTAGATTTGGTTTCCTCCCCAACAAGATCTCATATGGTGTCATCGTACTCCCAACTCTAAAATACACCCTATTAGAAATATGGCATGCCGTATTTAAGGCTTCAGCCCAAAACCGTTTAGCAAGACACTTCGAATTTAATAAAGTTCGTGCCATCTCTTGCAAGGTCCTATTTTTCCTTTCAGCTACCCCATTTTGTTGGGGTGTGATAGGAGCCGAGAACTCATGAAAAATTCAATTTTGAGAGCAATAATTATCAAAAGAAGAATTCTCAAATTCCTTGCCATGATCGGATCTAATTCTCCCAATTTTCAAGTTATACAAATTGCAAATTCGTTTGGACAAAGTAACAAAAGAATAAAATGCATTCAATTTTTCACGTAGAAACAATATCCACGTGAACCGGGAAAAATCATCAACTATGACAAAAGAATACTTTTTACCTCCAATGCTTTCAACCTCAATAGGACCCATTAGATCCATATGTAAAAGTTCAAGACAACGAGATGTATGAAAAGTATGAGGGTTGAAATGTGTCACCTTCGTTTGTTTACCTCTTTGGCATGAACCACACACGACAGAATTTTTAAAAGACAGTCTTGGCATACCTCGAACAGCATCTAGTCTTACCAAGTTGTCCATCATATTGTAGTTCACATGCCCAAGCTTTTGGTGCCACAACTCTACCTCATCCAATTTTGCACGATTGCACAGTGGCTTGGTCTTGATTTGGTAGCAATTGTCGGAAGTCCGTACTCCTGTCAAAATACACAAGTTAGACTCATTAAAAACTTCACAAGATTTGCGATCAAATTTAACGTAAAGATTATCATCACATAATTGACTTATGCTAATAAGATTAGCCATAAGTCCTTCAACCAACAATACGTTCTGGAGCTTTGGGAGGCCTTCAACGTTGAGCGTTCCACGCCCTATAATATTTCCATGCTCACCTCCCCCGTATGTAACTCATCCACCTTCATATGATTCTATATCGCACAAGAAGTCACGAGTGCCGGTCATGTGCCGCGAACACCCGCTATCAAAGTACCATGAACCTACAATATTAGACTTCAAAGAGGTATGAATAACATTGCATTTCAACTCAGATTTTGGTACCCAAAAAAAGTTCTCTTTAGTTCTAGTTACGTGATTTTTGGACGAATTTCGAGATGCAGACGACACTCCTGATTCAAAAGACCTATCAAATGAATGCAACTTATAGCAGAAAGGTCTAATGTGCCCAGGGGCATGACAATAATGACAAACATATCTACGCCTTCGTTGTTTCGATTTCTTAACAGCTTTAGGCGATGATTTCAAATCAGACTTACCTGTTTCCTCTGAAGGACGCACAAACATGGTAGGTGTAAAGCCAAGTCCCACTCTATTGTTATTATGTTCAATGGCTGCTAGGACATCCAAATGGCTCTTACCAGTGTTGAGTCGTTGGAAGGTTTGACGAGAGTATTCAAGTTCCTCTCTTACCTTCACCAGCTTTTGGTCATGGCCTGATATGGTCACCTCCAACTGGGTTATGGTAAACTTTAATGCATCATTCTCCTCTTCCAATTTTTTAGACTCTTAGCATATCCTCTTGTTCTCATCCTTCAACTTCTTGTTCTCCTTCTCGAGCCTATCCGCATCCCAGACAACATCTATCCACCGTTTATAAAGCTCCTTGTACACCTTTTCATGATCTTCATGGTTAACATATTCAATGTTGTCCGGAGGACCTATATCCTTACCTGAAGAGTCACAAAATAAGGTGTTAAGACAAAAAAATTCAGAATTTTTATTTTCATACCTGTCAGGTGTCATGACACTTCGGGCGACACCTCGGCTGACACCTGCTGGATTGATCTGCTTGGGCCTGAAATCGCTCACTGTGGTCACAAAAGCAGCATCCCCATTATTTTCAGCTTCAGAATCAACAGAGCCGTCATCTACCTCTTCATCATCGCTCAAGGTAATGTTAAAACTCAATCCTCTTTTGCGCAAAGTATTGGCACACTCATTCGCATAGTGCCCATACCCTTTGCAAGCATGACATTGGATGGTCTCGAGCGACTTGGGAGTGAACTTTCTCTTACTGTCGGGTTTTGCCTTGTCTCCAGTTGGATTTGAACGATTTAAAGTGGACGAAGTGAATGGCCTGGGCATTTGAGACTTGGTGACTTGGTAATTCCCTTGAGTTTTTCTTTTCTTCAATAATGACTTGAACCGTCTTGTCATGAACGCTACTCCTTCATCATCAAACTCATTCTCTTCCATGTCTCGAACAAGACTTTCAAAATTATCATCATTCTCGGACAACGACTGAATAGCGATCCCCTTCCCTTTTCCGAAAGGTGCATTATTTTCTTCGAGATCTTGCACCTCAAGATTCATCTCGAACGTCTTTAGAGAGCCAACAAGATCATCAAATTTAATGGTCGTCACATCCTTCGAAACATCAAGCGCCGTGATCATCATATTGAAGCGCTTTGGAAGAGACCTCATTACTTTTGCCACGAGCCTTTCATTTGAGATCGGGTCCCCAAGGGAGTGACATTCATTGACAATACTCATCAACTTGGCCGTGTATGATGAGATATTCTCATTTTCGAGCATTCGAATAGTCTCAAATTTTGCCGCAAGAAGACGTAGCCTCGTTTGACAAACACCCCTCGAACCCTCACAATGACGTCGCAAGGTGTCCCATGCATCTTTCGTAGTAGTACACGTGCTGATTAGTCGAAACATGTTCTCATCGACTGTGCCAAAAATTGCATTGAGTGCTTTTGAATTGAAGTTGGCCAACGTGCTCTCACCCGTACTGTACTCGGCTTCATTTTTCTCATGTTTCTCCCCTTCAATTTCTACGGTAGGAGGAACCCATCCGGTAAGTACAGCTAACCAAGCACGTCCATCAATGGATTTAATGTAGGACGTCATACGCATCTTCCAAGTGGTGTAATTTGAGCCATCGAGAATCGGAGGCCGAAAAAGCGAAGTTCCGTTGAACTCCATGTGTACCTATCAAGACAGAATCACACTTATTAAATTAAGCGACCCGCTCTGATGCCACTTGTTAGAATTATAGGTACGCAAATATCCAGATTTTCACACGAATGTAACAATTAAAATACGCAGCGGAAATAAATAACATGAAAGAGAATTCAAAATTTAGCCTACAAGTTCAAATACTTGTAGACTAAGGCCTCATGCCAAAATTTCACTAGAACAAAATAATCACAAAGTTTTTCGTCCAATCCAAAAACATCTAGTGAACAATGAAAAATAAAAAAAACGCGAGTTGGACACAAGATATAAAAGAAAAGATAAAGAAATATTAAGCCAAATTGCTTGTGTGCGCTGAAGCTTGCAAAACCCAATTGATCAATATAATCTGCTGCTTCTGTATTCTTCTCTCCAAGCACAGGCTGCTGCTAATACTGCTTTTTCTTTACGAATGCTCTTGTTTGCTTGTGTATGATTAGTCCTGCGCAGAAGCTTCCAAATCGCAAGCCCAAAATCTATTTACTTTATTTGTTGCTGCTTCTTTTTCTTTTCAAACCACACATATGCACTAGCCTTTGCTTTTTCCTCAAGCCTTGACCAATTTCCCGCAACCGTCTAAAATCAAGAGTCCCCAAAGTCTTTGATTCTACTTGCCTTATTTTCCCTTTTCTTTTCCTGTATGAATACCTAATCAGATAAAGAAGAATATTAACACCATAAATAATATTTACTAATTAAACTAAATAATAAAACAAAGAAAAAAATAAACAGAAAAGCAAAAAATAAAATAAAATAAAATAAAAACTATACGAATTAACAATCCAGATATCGTCTTCACATATCTCTTGGACCACCAATGAATGATGAAGGTAGAACAATTCTTTTACCAATTTCACTTCCTCTTGTTTCTCCTTGTAAGACACAATCCTTTATTCCTTGATATAGTTTTGATCTCATGTTCGTTTGGTTATGTCGATAGTAGTCTAACCTTGTTGTCTCTAATTTTATGTACATGTCAACTGCATACTGTTGTAATAATCTCCCCGCAAAAAGCAAGATAGAATGCCTTTGAGAGCGAATTTGCAACCTGTAACAACTGTATTCCCTACAAGATACCTTTGTATCGTCTTATTTGAACACAACTGAAATTAAGGAATATAATTTTTTAAGGTATAAATTTAAATAAATAAATTATACTGAAAAAAATAATACCGAATAACTACATTTGTAACATGTGATTTTACATACCTTGTTGCTCTCTAGAAATAATATCATGTGCGGAACAAACATTTGGTCCAACATAATGATCAGCAACATGTGTCGTTGGAACTGTTCCTGAAATAAAAATTTCGGTAAAATCTATTACAACAAATAAGAATTAGTTAAATTCATTCATATTATATTCTAATATTTATAGAAATGATATAAATGAGGCTAAATAATTGAAGTAGTATTGTTATAAAAACAAATTCATGGACTTGGGAAAAAAGGTACCTGTTTGAACTTGAAGACTATCTGGCAGTATTTTTCTGATATTTTGATGCCATCCTGAATCACCCATTGGAAAGAGTAGATGATATTGCAATGGGTCATAACATCCAAAGTAGTGTTTTATTCTGTGTCTGTATCCTGAATGCGCATGGACAACAATGTCCCGCTCAAATGGTATGTCATTGTTGTTTCCTTCTACCCATATCGCAACTACTTGATCTGATGTTGGAGAATTATAAACACGTTGATCTAGTTTCACGTCTTTTGCAATACGAAGTTGGATATCATCAATGGAAGGGATATCTTTCAATCTTCTGAAGATCCTCGCATAAGGATTGATATCTAAAATATCCATGACTTTCTTCACCATACATTCACTTAATGATGAATCTTCAAAAATCCTCATTCTGTTGTCCACCTCATTTTCCGTCTCCACAAAATATAATTGAAAATAACCAGGACCTCGCTCGTTTGGAATAAGCCCTGGAAGATCATGATAAACCATACCTTGTGCACGGAAGGTATAAACTCCTCGTCTTGCAGAAGCTAGATCTTTATCTAACTTTACACCAAATGACGTGAAAGAGAAAATGCTATTTAGTTGGCGAATAGATTTACGAAATACATTTGACTCTTCAGAATCTGAAGTGAACAATTCATAAAGTTCGTTGGGGACATCCATGGGTGCGAGCTTAACTTTTCCATTGTCACAACAAAAAGTCGGAGGCTCGTACTGAAATCTAGCAGCATCACAATATTTACACCTTCGAACTTTCTTCAATTCATGTGTTTTTGTGCTACTTAGACTCGTATCCATTGAACCTAAGATAGTGTTAACAAAATCAGGTTTCTACAAGAAGTACTTTTATAATCTAATTGTAAAAATAATATATGAAATATTGTTCAATAAATAATAATGAGTACCTTCAGACGCATTCATTGTTATTTGAGCTTTCAAAAACCACTTATTTTGTGGATTCCTTAGCTTGTTCCGGCTTTTAACTTTCTCAATATAGACCTTCTTCTTCGCAGAATCAAGGTCGGCATATTTCCTTTTCATCTTTTCACGATTTCTTTGTCGATAAACATCTTTGGCTATAATATGAAAATAAGAAGAGTATGGTATATGTTTATGACACACTTATTTATAAACAAATAGAAATATGCTCCATATTATATTGTATGCAATTTTAAGAAAATAATTTATTAAATGTGATTTACCTGAAGAAGTACTTGGCATAGATGAACGTCCATACATTTCAATTTGTTTAGTGGAGCCTGAAACGGAATAAAAATAAGGATAATGCCTTGAAAACTTTTCCATCCAAAAAATGAGATGCCATATTTTAGCAGACAAAATTAGAGTGTTAACTATTGAGATGACATCTAGATATAATTTTCCAACTTGTAGCTGAGGTAGTAAAATTTAAGTAGACTAAACATTCAAATATGACAACCATAACTTAGAGTGAGAACTCAAGATGGGATGCACAACATTGAACTACACATTGAACATTACTTACGGATGCTCGGTCAAATGAGCAGAAGCCCACTCCAACAGCAAATACAGGCAAGCCCTATTGTAAAAGTGGTGTCATTTGTTACTAATATAACAATGAATATCATATCAGAGGAAAACCCAAATACCTATTGTTTGTTTTTATTTTAAATTATAAAAAACAAAAGCAGGGAATTTAACAAAATATGTAATCTATAAATATGATAGTAAAAAAATATTATATACATTTACTTCAGCATAAATAATTAAAAAGAAAATGTAATCACAAGTTTACTGTTTAAAATATTGATACCTAAATAGGTAATTACAAAAGAATATATACATTTATTTGTTTCCCCTTAAGAACAGCAAAAGGTACTTGAAGTATGATATAAATGTTTTTCTAATATAACAATGAATATCATATCAGAGGAAAACCCAAATACCTATTGTTTGTTTTTATTTTAAATTATAAAAAACAAAAGCAGGGAATTTAACAAAATATGTAATCTATAAATATGATAGTAAAAAA